TTGGCAGAAGATTCCCCAAACTGGCCAACCATTTTCATGTAGAGGACTGTGGTTAGAGAAGCGCATTTACCTCCATTGAAGAGGTAACCATGTGGTTAGAGAAGACGGAGGGATAGTGGCCATCATCTTCTGCCTCATGAAAAATTCCAAGTAATGGGATAGAAGCAGACGAAATGGAAAACCTGAGCCTTGCAAATCACAACTAGCTTTTTTCTGTCTCATCATCCTTAAAGCAGAGTCATCTTCCTTTCAAGTAAACACAAGGGAGAAATAAATATATGGTGCTCAGGACCAGAATTAGCAGCCACCCTAATGTGGAGCTTTTTCAGCAATGTCGCACAGCTTTTAAAGGTAGGAAATCATAAAAGGATCAACTTTGTTGGAGTAGATCACAGTTCTATCAACTTTTCTCTAGCTAGGAAGACAGATGAGACAAAGATTGGCATTTGAACCATCATTCAAATTCAGATTCAAATCATTGATTGATTGGATTGGATTCATTTGATTGGATGATTCGGCTATTGGTGGTCCGTGGTCTTTACCTGCCACTCTGCTTCCTTTCCCCTGCTGGCACTAAGTAGGGTGGCAGAGAGCTGCCATCACTGCATATTTTGCAGAAGTCCCTGTTTCAAAGGATGGTTCACCGCTCAGTTCAGCATCTTTCTTAAAATGTCCTACTGGATGCTTTGTGACAGTCCACGAGAAAAGTTATGAACATAATAGCTTTTTTTCACTGTGCCTTCCTAGCAACTGGTATCCAGGTCTATATTCAGGATTCCATATAGCCATTGTGACTAATAGCTACAGATCAACTTATCCTCCATGATTTGATCTTATCTTTTCACTTGGTCACTTCTTATAGCATCAGATTCCATAAATGAATTCTATGTTGTGATTAAATATAAGTATCAACCATCCATTGTGCATCATGAAGCCGCTGTTAATGAGATTTATGGTATGATTCTGAATTCTATTCTAATAAGATAAAGGGAGAACTTTATTTGGAATATATTTGGTTTTTTTGCTTCCGGAAAGTTCTTGTTTGGGAGGACAACCCAGAATTAGGAATGAAAAATAATGAATTATTGGATACCTGTGGAAGTGAGTTTAAGAATTTTGCTCTTCTGGAACGAGGTTCAACTCAAGCCTCTTTCCCAGAAAAAATCAAGAATGGAACAGGAGGAGATGCACTTTTTAAATGTTATTAGGTGGCTGAGAGTTTTTTCTGCTTTTTTCCTGATTATAAAAACATTTAAAAGCAGACGCAACCATTCTAGCCTAGGAAAAGATATTACAAGGCATGTCTGACCGGTGCTATGCATAAACTAATATGTACCCCAAAGAATAGAGCTTTTTTCTTGTTTGCTATTTTTTAATATTTTTCAAATATAAAATATTTTATTATATATAAATATGTTACATTTATTACTGGCATTAATATTAGATATTAATGACAATCTCCTCTGTAACAGAATGCTAAGAATGCTTAGCTGGGGTCTTCATCTAAGTAAACAGTATTGGCCTTGAAACTCATTATTTCCTCTTTTTAAAAAAATAATAAATAAATAAATAAATAATGCTATTTGCCTTGAGACCCGTTTTCCTTTTTAAAATAAACAAACAAATAAATAAATAAATGCTATTAGCCTTGCTTTGAGACTATTTCCTGATTTTTAAAAAAATAAATGCTATTAGACTTGACACTCATTGTTTCCTGTTTTTTTACATAGATAAATAAACAAATAAATGCTATTAGCCTTGAGACTCATTGTTTCCTTTTTTAAATAAACAAATAAATACTATTAGCCTTGAGACTCATTCTCCCCTCTACTTTTCTTTAAATCAATCAATCAATTAATAATCAAATGCTATTAGCCTTGGGACTTATTGTTTACTCTTTTTAAAAAATAAATGAATGAATGAATGCTGTTAGCCTTGAGACAAATTGTTTCCCCTGTTTTTTTAAATAAATAAACATATAAACACTATTAGCTTTGAGACTCATGGTTTCCTCTTTTTTAAACAAACAAATAAGCGCTATTAGCCTTCGTAAGTACACGAACTTGAGACTCGTGGTTTGCTCTTTTTAAAAAAAATTAAAAATGAATAAATAAATGCTATTAGCCTTGAGCCTCCTTGTTCCCCTTGATTTTGGGGCACCCCTCCTCCAAATGCCAACTGAAGGAAGCCACAGAATTGGGGTGCTCTGGGGACCCCACAAGCATTATGGGGGTGCGAGAAACAACACCCTAAACTCAGCGGGACCCTTCGCGTCTCCTTGGCCTGATTCGCAAGCTCGTGCAGCGTGGGCTGGACGGAAGGTAAATAAAGATACAGCGGACTTGCAATCCTGTTCCCTGGTCCAGTCTACACGTTCGCGAGTCTATGTCCCGCTCGCCATCTACTTCCCGGTCCCCCACCAAAGTGACGTCACTGCCGGCGGCCGTCCGTCCGTTTCCGCTTCCGAAGCCAGCTCGGGTTGTCCTTCCGCCTCGTCGGCACAGCTGAGTCCCGACACAGAGAATGGCGGCGGTGGCGGAGCGCCTGGGCTCGTGGGAGCGTCCCGTGCGGCCCCTGGCGCCTCTCAGTGAGCGGCAGCAGGACTCAGTGCTGGAACTGCGCGCGGCCTCGCCAGGGCTGCCCGTTCCGTCGGAGGTAGGCCGGCGCCGACCGCGGGAGCCCCCTGAAACCGTCCTGGCTGGGCTCTCACGTTATCCTCCACGGGGCTCCTTGAGGGAAATGAGGAGGTTGAATGAATTCTCGAGGAGCCCAGACCCCCCCCCCCCCGGAGCAAAGAAGCTTGGCACCAAAAAGCGGATAATATCTAACCAAGCCAGAGCACTACAACTGAGAGAGTGATCTCTCATATCTCCTCATAACATGCTTCCCCCACTTAGAGAATACTGAGGAGGATCTGATGATCTTAATTAATTAATAATAGTCCTGAAGATTTTCTTTGCGAAAAATATTTATAGCCTACCCACAGTTTTAAGAGAGATGCTCCCTCCTGTTAGGGTAATAGGCCTTAAATGTCAAACCTAGACTTTGAAATGTCTGATTGATCTGATTTCCTGGATCCAAAATATGATTATTAGCAGTTTCTGCTTCTGAACTTTTATTATTTTATTATGTTCATGGGGCTCCAAGAGAGTACCGAGAGAAGCTTTTCAGCTCTTTCATGTGTTGATTTTCATCTTGTTTTGCAACTTTGCCATTTTTTTATCATTTTAAATGAAAAAGTTGAAAGTAATCTATATTCCATGCTTTCATATATCCAGGAGCTATATCTGTTTTGGATGCTTGAGTTTTTAAGTGAAACGTTTCATATGTTACTAATAAACAATTATGACATCAATCTTGTTCTGAGGCAACATTACTTTTTGCCGTTCCTGTATATCTGAGGAAACACTGTGGCTGGTTTCTTGAGATTTGAAACTCAATTTAATAGATTAATAATTCTAATTTCATTTCCTTAAACAGCTACCCATAGAAGATTTAAGCAGTCTCGTCCAACCATCCTTAACAGTGACACTGACAGCCACATTGCCGGAATCCACGGAGAACATTCTCTTGAAAGGATTCTCTTCTTTTGGCATGGAAAGTGAAAGAATTGAAACAGCGCAGCAGGTAAAAAAGAAAAGAAAAAGAAACAGCAAACTCTCTCGGATTCCAGGATAATACAAAAAAACTACTGACTGGGCAACATAGAGATTCAGTTTCAAAAGGAAAACGTGACTTGGAGCGCACATGAAGGATCTGTGTCTTTCCTTGGCTGCCCAGAGCCAGGAAAAGATGCATTTGACTTAAGGAGGTGCAGATAGCTGCAACAAGCATGTTACGTTTTCCCTGTGCATCACTGCATAGCTCTGATTATTAATGTGGGCCATTAGCTTTCACTCCTAATGGAGCATTCCTGAAACAGATTAAATTGAGACTGAAATAATCAGTTCCTGGATGGCTGGTATGTTTGCCTTTCCCTTCTTCAATTGGGTCATTTTGGGGATTCAGATCATCTTAGATTTGATGCATCTCAAGCCTCCTTGATTTGCAACCAGAGCTCTAGAGCAGGCCTTCAAGTTGCATAAGGCTGAAATTTAAGTAGTAAATTTCAATCTTGTTAGCTTGGGTGTAAATGGGAGGAAAAATATATGCTGGGATTTGGGAGGGAAGAAGTTGTCTGCTTCTTCTGAGTTAAGGATGATTTTTGATAAGGACACTAATGTATAGTATTTTACCTTTAAGCTTTTAGAAATATTCAATGAAATTAAGTTATTTTTCTCTATATGGCATCATTGTTTTAACAGATCATGAGCTTTGTCCTGTTGTTGTTCTAGTTCTTTTCATGGTTTGATCAACTTCGTGCACAGATGGATCAAGATGAAGAGACCAAGTACCGGTATGTATGTGTGTCTGCATGTGTGTATTTACCTTCCCTTAATTGTAATTTGAATAGCAATGTATAGTTGAATAGCAATGAATAGCTATAAATACATTGAATAGCAATGTATTTATGTCATCACTAATGACATAAAACAGCCGAGAGAAGTTTGAATTCCTGTATTTTGTACACTTTTAGCTTTGTTTTCTTCCCCCCTTTGTTTCACTTACTCAGCAAGATACTTATCCTTTGATTCATTTTATATATTCCATTATTTTTGCGATGCAGAAGTTAGCTGCAAGAACTTACTTGTACATGAATAGTTTAACTACTATCTCTATTTTAATATCTTAATCTGAATTCAGATTTACAGTATTTTAAGGAGAAAAAAAATCTGAGGCAGCTCTCTGTTAATTCAGTAGCTTTCGAAAGTGTATTGGGGTGAACCATTTAAGTAAAACATCTGATCAACTTCATCTTCCTTTTTTAAAAAAACAGTTTTTATTAAAAGATTTTACATATATAATAAATACATTCAAAGAAAATAGTATAGTAAATGTGGGAAAAAAGGAAAGGAAAGGAAGAGACAAAAAGGAGATAGAAAAAAGAAAAAGAAAATAAAAGATCAGAAAACACACACACACACACAC